TTATTTTGCTCTTGTTTATTTCTTGCTATTTCTGATATGGCCGAACAGAAGAATCGGGATTGTAAGAGTAGGAATTGGGAGAAAGCATTGATCAGCTCGTTGGGGAAATAGCATAATCAAAGAATCAAAAGAAAGAATCAAGTGCAATGATTGTTTCACGCCACCCTGTACGGATTCTATGCGAGTCGGAGAAGCGGAGAAATGGCCAGTGTTCAATCACTCCTTCCTGCACACCATCTGTAATTCTTCGCTTATCCGATTCTCCCCCACCTCCACACCCTGCCTTCTTCCCCATTTGTAGCAGGGATCCATCGGGCAAAGATCAATAGATGGGTCATATTTGTGATTTTCGATAAGAGGTCGGATTTTTCAAGGCTTTAGCGTATTTTGAGAGGGCTGTGTTTTTTTTTTCGAAAAAGAGGAAAAAACATTTTTGATAGTCCAGAGAAAGTACGAAATTTTTGCATTTTTCCTGCCGTTTCCGTTGCTGTATAAGTTGCATGTGTTCTCGTTCTGAATGCGACACAAAACAATGGCCGCAGGCCGAAAACCGTACGATGTACCGTTTTCCTTTCCATGTGAATCCTACACGAGCTCGATGGGGAAGCTCACAGGGTCGGACCCGTGGGGTGCCGTGGCTGTTGTTGGAACACTTTGCTCTCGGGCCGTCATACTGCTTAAGCGCAAATCACCTTAAAAAGTAGGTCCAGGAGCTGATTCGAGAGGACCTACTTCTCTGAGCTGCAGATAACTCCTCCTTCGTTCGATCTATAATGTCACCTGCCTTTAAAAGAATCCTTCCCGAAAAATCTTGCATTCTTTACCAACATGCATTTGTCAGTTGTGATCACTAGAGACAACATACAAAGTTTCACGCACGAAGATTCAGTTTCCGAAAGAGAAACAAACTACGAAAACCACACTCTATGGACGGTCGAAGGTAGGTCGCGCGGAGCCAAAGGCGGGGCATGGAAAGAAGTGCGCCTTGGGGCGGCTACGTATCAGGCGACGCAATGAAAGAATCGGGTTAAAGCGTTCGATTTTGGAGAATAGAGACAAATCGATCGATAGAATAGGATGCAGTAGTGTGAGATGTTATGCAATAAGTCAAAAGGCCAGAAAGAGTTTCTAGTGACGGCACTCCGAGAACCAAGTGGAAGCATTCCCGTCGCCAGCATTTGTGACAGATGTACGGCGGGAATTTGAACGCGTAGCAGTCCTTTCGGTTTTTCGAATTTTTTACCAAAACAAATGCAATTTTTCTTTTCTTTTTGTTCTTATTGAACGATAGGTCTCAAGCCAGTGATTTATGGTGAGATTGAAATAACTGTTTTTGCCCGGGAAGGATTCCTTCAAGCGTATGGTACTTCGACAAAATGTTAATGCAAATAAATAAATAAATAAATAAATAAATAAATAAAATACAAGTGAACCTTGATGGCTAGTCGTGCAGGTTTGCTGTTCGCCACCGTTGAGATATTCATTGCCATGCCAGTTGGTCGAGAAAGAAATTTGGACAGAGCTTCACTTATGATCTTAAATAAGTTATTACTCTTTAGAATCTCTGGTCGCTTATTCAGATTTCAAGGATGAAACGAGGATAAAGCAGCAGAGAATATGCTCTCTCCTTCTCAGTATTATTTACTCTTATAGGCTTTTCTGCTCGTTGAGTCATTTTGCTAATTTCTCCTTCCCGTATAATTGTTACTCAGGTTTGGTCACAGCCTACATTCGAAATGAGAGGCACTACCGTGGAAATAGCCAGGAGCAGGAGGAGGGAGAGCCCCTTAACTTCTATCAGCTCTAAGAGTGCTTTCACTTGTCATTAATCGAATCTTTCGAGGAGGCAATGTGATGGAATCCCTTCCGGGGCTGGAAGCTGAGTATGGATATGCAGCAATGATTGCCCATGGGAGCACCGGACCCATAAATCAGAATAAAGCACCAAAGGGAGCCAGTACGTCGATCAAGGAGACCAGAACTCCGTCTCTTGAAAGCGGAAACAACGAAGTGTCTGGGGCGCCACACCAAATGGCGGCAATCTTTAGCCTCTAGGCCTCCCACCCCTGCGCGTATGGTATTTGGCAGCAAACTTGCTTCAAACTTATTTGGGGCGTAATCAATTAGGACAATCTGGGAGAAAATGGGGTGTGCCACAGATTTTTTGCCTGAGAATTTCATGTTTATCGATTTGCCAGCGTTCGTACTCAGCACTTTGGGAGAATCGAAAAATCCGGGGACATAAAGAAAATACTAATTGATCAGAAGAATTAAAAACCAGAAGGAAATAGGGGGAACCCGTGAAAGGTTGGACTTGTACAGAACAATATAGCTCTCTCGCGTCTGTTGCGTCTCATACGCACCGGAGCATGCTTCCGTCGACTTAGTGATCACTATGCATTTGATCCTCTTCGCGGACTTTCTTGTCCTCTCATTCGCTGAGCATGAACGCAGGGCACTAGTGTACCAAGGAAAAAGTATCTGCATGCGAATTGAGCCTAGACGGAGAGGATGAACTTCAGGGACAATGAAGATTGCTTACACTCCCTCCCCCCATAGCCTCCCATAGTCCCCACTAGGGCTTGTGGTTAGTCCTGGGGACCTGGAGGGGGAACGCTGGTAGTGTTGAGCGCTCGATCAGAGCCCCCCCCCTTGAAGGCAGTGATTACGGTTGGTTCAAGAAGGGTTCATAGAAGACCGGTGCTGCTCAATGATACGCCAGTGACGAAAAAATCGGAGAACTCCGTCAAGAGAACGCAAAACGGGACCTCCTTTTTTGGCCGTTGGTTCTCACTTAACAGGTAACAGCTCAGACAGCGGACGTATGAACGAGTTCATTGCAACGCGTTCGGTGGCAGCATGCCAGTCCGTGCTCTCTAGTCACGTTGCTTCAGTTGTGCCGCTGCTGGCAACGCAGCTCGTCCAAATCACCAAGTAAACTAGTGGGCGGATCGCTTTTGGGGCGGAGTGCTTTCGAAGTCCTGCTCAGCAACCAGCGCACCTTTCGTCGTGGAAGCGCCACATCTCGCTTCCCTGGCAGCCAAGTAACTGCTTCGTGTGGTGCATATGCTTCCCCGATGCGCTCCCTCTTTATCGTAATCGCTGCCTTTAAAGTACAACAGCGCTGAACGTTGTGTTTGTTTCTAAGCAGACAAAACTAGTTCTATGGCTCACCTTCTTGCTTTGCTCCACGGTGCCCTTTTCTGCACGGTGTACTTCAACGGTCTTTTTCGATTTTTCTTTGTTAAGCAGCAATCTGAAAATTTCCATCGACGTTATTTGCCATGAGAAAATCTCTCCCCATTCTCTCTTACTTGTTGATTCGTTTCACCAGGTCCCATTCGACCACTTCCGGTATCAACGGCGGCGGAAGTAGTTCCACCTCACGTAGGTAATGTGAATGCTGTCTGGGCATCGTTGCCTATAAGTGTTTATATTGCTTAAATCAACTTTAGTTTTTATGAATATTTTCATGAATGAATTCATGAGTAATTGCTAGGAATAGAGTCGCACGGCGAAATGGTAGCGGTATTCATATTACTGTGTATGTCAAGGATCTATACCACTTATAGTGTTTCCTATTGTTACTTAAAGGCACATTCCGCGAGTGAATAAGCGTGAGCTATTGTCCCCAAGGAAGGTGATTGCGGTGATTTGTGTGACCCGTAAAGAAAAAAGAAAAAAATCGCTGAGAACCTACGCCCTAGAGTCTTATTCGGCACTATTCCCATGGGCTGGTTATGCGCTCCGAATCACATTTGGTACGCCTATCTATCTTTCGCCCATTCACTGTATTCTACCACACCAGGGGCGGTATTCAATCCTTCCCCCAGGGGTTGGGGGACGGAAATCCCTTTAAATTTATTTGTTTTTAACGATGTAGTTTCTTCATTTTCAGTGCATGTTTACTTTGACCTACATACATACATTAAATGTAGGCCCTTTATCAGGACAATCCCAGTTGGGAAGACAGAGAAAATTTAAAGGGATTTTCGTCCCCCAACCCCTTGGGAAGGATTGAATACCGCCCTAGAACTGAAGACCAACAAAAAATTACCGTAGGGATGGGCACGGAAAAACCGCCCACACCACTATCACGCAGTGTGATTTCGACTCTTTTTAGCCGTTTTTTGCCCTTTTTCATTACTAATGGACTAAATACGGCAACTACATTTATTGTTGAGCGCAGTGATCTACACCTAGTCAGTCACGGAATGTGCCTTTACCTAATAATTCCATTACCTCTGTCGCTTGCCGTAATTCTCGGAGTTCCGGACGTCGAGGAGTGATAATTGTCTCGTAGGATATTGTTCCTGATGAATTCGAGTAGTTCGAAAGTAAATCGGGGCAATATTCGGCCACCTAAATATTGAACTCCATTAAAGCAATAATTCCAGCATTCAAATTGATGAGGTAACAGAAGCCGATATTGAAGCTGTGGATGCTGAATTAACTGAAAATGAAAACAGAAGCAAAACAAATTGTCGGTGAAGCCGTCAAACGAGAACTTCCCTCTCCTAAGTGAAGAGGGAAAGGGGAGGCGGACTGGACAAGGCGTCTGAACTTCCTTACCCCATAGCTCAACCAAGCCTGCAAACCCACTACCTACCTTTGCGTATTCCAATTCTTCCGAATTGATCCATAAGTTATCTTAAGTTGCGTCTGGAGAGCTCGCAGCCAACAACCACGAACGCTGATACTCGTGACTACACTATCTCAAACACGATATAGATTGCTCGACATACAACACTTATCCTGGATTGTGTTTAAAGGCGGATCCGAGAAGGAAGTGATGCCTGTTCGCTTGCAAGTGTTTGTGGGCGGGTTCAATGGTGTTGAACGGGGCCAATGCTGCACCTCTGATCCTCAGCGCTTCGGCCTTCTCAAGTCATCCCAGAAGTTGTGAACGTGCTTCTCGCTTGCGCGCTGGCGCTTTTTTTCGGGGAAAAGCTTGAAGACAGCGATTACGGTATATTCCAGAAGGGTTTTTAGGAAAGCTTTTCACTCATGAACAGGTAACAGCTCAGAAAGCGGACGTATGAACGAGTTCATCGCAACGCGTTTGGTGGCACCATGCCAAACCACGCTCCAATCGAGTTGCTCCAGTTGTGCCGCTGCTGGCAACGCAGCTCGTCCAAATCACCAACTAAACTAGTGGGCGGATCGCTTTTGGGGGCGGAGTGCTTTCGAAGTCCTGCTCAGCAACCAGCGCACCTTTCGTCGTGAAAGCGCCACATCTCGCTTCCTTGGCAGCCAAGTAACTGCTTCGTGTGGTGCATATGCTTCCCCGTTCCTCTTATCGTAATAGCTTTGTTTAATCTCGACCAGAAATCCCGGTCCTTGCCATTAAGTATTATTTCTGCCTTGTAAAAAACGCCTTAGCTACCCCAGCTTCTTGATTTGGAACCATAGATGTGAAGGCTGTGCTAGAAAAAAAAAGGCTATTGGAAGACGTCTGACGTAACCGCTTTCTCAGTCCAGGCCTTTGAGCTTTCTAGAAGCTTACGGCGATGAGATGCTGAGAGTTGAGCAAGTTGAGCAGAGAGAGCAGACATGACCAGGGAACTTGTGGGTAATCGAGGCGTAAACTGGGAACCAACAGTTGATCATGTTGCTTCGCGGGCGTCAGCGGCTCGTACCATAAAAGGCCATCCCACCAAACCTTCGCGCACTTTAAATTCACGACGATCCATAATTGGTGTTGTGGCGTTACGAATACCCACTGAAGTAGATGCGCAGAAATGAAAGCTCCAATTTCAAATTTTTCATACGATATCTGCTGCTTTTCCAATTCTGAGATGTGGTGCTACCAGTTTAACTACCGTATCAGTATGCTTCAGTAGATCTGAGGATACCCGTGCTTAGCGCTCATGTTCTTGAGGGGAGGGGGGCAACATCCATGTGAGTTAGCCGATTACTGTGGTCAGGACCAAGCTCTAGGGAGGGGATACTGTGGAAGCGTGTGAGCAATTTGCGTCGTCCCATGTCCCGCGTCCCATGTCCCTGGCGTTTCTCCCCTATGCTGGGCTCGGTCCTAGTCTCACCTACCATTGGCCCTGTTTTGAATGCTCCTTCCCCCAAGGAATTGAGCGCCCAAAGCTTTTCTATGAGGAAAGGATTTCATGACAAGGTCGAAAAAAGGGTAACCTACCAAGTGGGTTGTGTGTTGTTTCCCATGGCCCTTTGTCTTCACTCAGGCACCACTGACCACCTCTACTTTGATTCTATTGGGCTGCCTTCTAACCGTAAACACCGCCTTCAAGCAGCATGCATGCTTTGATGCTCATGTCCTTGGGGTGAGGGACATTCAAAACAGTGCCGATTTTACGTGGAACTAAGACTAAGCCCAAATAGGGGTAGCGCCAGGGAGAACACAACATATATAGCTCGCATGATTCCTCAGAATCCAATCCCTTCCTAGGGCTTAAGCCACAGTAATTGCCTCATCTTGGATGTCTCTCCCCCCCCCCCCTCCCGGGCCTCCCAGGACATAAGCAGAACAACATTCTAGCAGCGGAATAAGCTTTGGGTAAGTGACAGCATTTCTTGAGCCGCCTACATTGGCCTTTAGCGTAAATAAGTACCATGCTTCGGTGTTGGAATCATCAAGCGGTTCAATAACTTCTTATCTTATGTTCGTGATATTGTAATAGGAATATCAATATTTCTCGTATTTCCACCGACCACCTTACGAAGTTCGGGTAGGCTAGCGGTCGAATGCATCTCGATGACGATGGCATCACAATTGAAATGAAATGCCCTTCTTATCGCGCATCTGGATAACAGTTTTAGTGACTCCTCTACTTTAATCTCCTATCAATCCTTATCAGCGTAGCCAAACTTACATATTCTTTTTTGAATTTTTCGTCTCTTAGCTTACTTGGCGAAGCTTCTCTTCTCATTTTGGAAAAATATATTCTGCAATCAAATTCTATTGCAGTTGAATGCTGAATGAAAAATCAGATTAGGTTATAGCAAAACTAGTCAGGTGGGACACTTCCACGCTGATCACTGTAAGCGCTAAGCCTACGAGGGAGAGGAAATAGAGAAGAATGAAAACTGGCGTTATCGAAATATGCTGAGGCATCCTCCAGGAAGGCTAGGAGGGGCAGGAGCTCTGGGGAAAATGAAAATGGCTAATGCACCTTGGAGTTCCTCCATCCCTGTCTGAGGCTCAGTCCCGTTTTCAACAATAAAGACACGTTTTACGCTATTTTCAAATGCACTACCACCACAATGTCCCCGTATATTGCGATAGCGCCTCAAAACTGCTTACGCACCGCTGAATACCTCTTCTTCCCCTCAAGGCTTGATGCGAACTGAGAATTTCAAAGCCAGTGAACACGATGGGCGGTGGACCAACCGATTTTGGTAGCGTCGTTGAGCATGGTTCTCAGAAGGCCGTTGATAGGTGTTCCTAACCACACCCCCAGCGCGCTAAGCTGCCTGGTCCAGTAACGGCGTCCAGTGAAGTCATTAAAACCGTTTTACCTTTCAGCCATGGTGATCTGCCTTTTATTCGTGACTCGCAAAACTAATGTGCCCCACCTAATTGGTTTTGCACCTGGGAGCTATCCCTTCATTACGGACAATACAAGAAGAATTCAGTACCCCATCACACTCCAGTGTTCTGCAAGTGTATGAATTTTGGTGAGACCTTACCGCCGAGTGCTTCAGCTGAACTGAGAGCGGTGTCACTTGGAAATGACTAGCGTCCGAAATGAACCTCACTATCAGCACTCAGGTTACATTTTCCTTCCCCATTATCACATTTTGGTGCTGATACTTACTAAAGCACGGTTTTCACGTTCCCCGCGGGCGCAGGCAGATATGCATCATTACGCGAAGAGATTCCTTGGCATCGAGCGCTGACACGCAAGGGTCAACCTCCGTTGGACAAATTTCAAAAAATTTTACGCCCCCCCCCTCCCCCCCCGTCTGCAGGGCTCGTTATATGGACCCCCTCCCCACAAACAATTTGTTATGTGTCCATGTATTATGTCTATAAACGTGTACCAACTCGAAAACAGCGACATAAGAATTAAATTAATTAAGGATTAATTAAAGACATAAAACAGAACTTGAATAGAAGTGAACTTTCCCTCCGGGGAACTGCATTGAGCAAGGGAGCGTTGCGTTCGCATTGGCGCGCACATCCTCCCCTCGACCCAGCGCGGATAAACCGAGTCGAACTACTAATTTCCAAAAGAGTATAATTCTGTTCCGTCGATATTTTTCAAAATGCAAAAAGTATTTTGTAAACTACGAGACCCACAGTTTCCGAAAACGACAATTTTTTCCAGTTCTCTCAGAACTGGATTAGTTATGGGTAGGGAGACCGGATTCACAGAATTGCGCGCTTCTTCCTTTGAAAGGTTTGGATTTTATTCAAATAAGGAAATATGCAGAGGGGTAAGAGAGGTTTGAACAACAGACTGTATTCCGTACTAAAAAAGTACTCAAATTTTGCAACATCTCTTTCCTCTGAAAAAATCGTCCCGTTGGACAATTTTTTCATGAATTTTGGAACAACTCTCCTGAAAACACGAGTTTTCAACACTCGATCACACAGCCCTCCACAAACCATTTCTATGGGGAGTACCGATACTGAGATCGATACTAAACCTTTGTTGACTCGTCCATGCAAATATTTGCTTCAGCTTTTATTGTAAGCTTAATAGCAGTCATCTACCAAGTGGTCCGATTTGAAACATTGGTGGCTTTTTCTTGAATCATCTCAGGAGCATATTTGTAAAACTAGTTAAATAAAGCATACTTCGCAGTGTGCTCTTCTGCTTTTAAGCTGCGCATTGCACTCCGTATCTGGTTATATAGTTTAGAGAAGCCCTTGCAAGTTATTGCTCTCACTACTTTTGAGACGCTGACCTTGCGAACCTCCTCTCCCGTCCGCCAGAAATTCACCTTCCCTCCCCGCGTGCGCACTCTTGTACCAGTAGGCGCGCTGACCTCGTTGGAGAAAGAAAGACGGGCATTGTGGCGCGATTGCCACTTTACCGAACACGCCACGCCCGCTCACACAAAACTTACAGTGGAAGCTTTGCTGTATTTATTCACTTCAACTGAATAGTAAACAGAGGTCTATGGTTACGTACGTTAACGTCTGCGTAAACAGATTTAGGTGCTTTCGTCTACGGCAGGTCCATGATCTCAACATCTCTGGGACATCTAGGCTGCATCTACCTACCCGTCATCTTCTACTCCGTACTTTGACGCAAATCTACCTACTTTCTACCACTGCGCCTAGATTTTAACAATTTTTGGTCGGTAAACCACATGGTGTCACTGTTTTTACGCCTAGCTTATATCTTAGCCTAGATCGATCCAATATAACCCTATACCTTGAAATATCCCTCGAGCTCGAGATGATCTCGCGGAGGAGGCCGCGATGGCATCTATAAGGACATAAGTCCCTTCTGTCGGTCAGGGAGCGTTATTACAGGATGAAATGTGTGTCTGGTACTTCAAATTGCTTGCATTTGGCCACTAGAAACCGATCGACATATGTTTCCTGCAGTTCGAGTAGCTTAGCTTGTGTTCCTGTTACTGGTGTTCAATGGATAAAATTATTAACATCGAGTTTCGAAGGTAGTCTAATGATTGGTAGCTTTCGCGGTGCGCGCTCGCTCCCTATACGAGGCACTACAAGACCCCAAAGTGTGTTCACCTCACGATTTCGAATGGCTTCCGCATGCATGGTGCATCCCGACCAAATGAATCGCATAACTACTCTTTCTCTGAGTGTTCCACATTACAACATATTTTTTCAGACCACAATTTATTGGCTCAAAATGCGCTGGTTCCCACGATTGGAGTGCGTGGCGCATCCTCCAGGTCCCATTTTTGTTCAGAATTCGGTCTGTCGTAGAAAAAAACAACTTTGTTTTAAATATTTATTAACTCAATTTCTATGTGTTGTCTGCAATAATGAATGAATACCTCGACTAAATGTCATTATTCTCTAATAGGCGGCTCCATCGCAGCTCAGCAGCTTTTCAGGACCTTATATTTTTCAAAGTGAACAGAAACGAATACTCTTTTGGAAAGTGTTCGCCAACGGGCGAACGAAAAAGTCATGTGAAACATCGTAAACAAAATAAATGAAAATTACTAAACAATCAAAAAATCAATGTATTACACATAAACGAGAAAAACCGAAATGAAAATCTTCTGTACACATGAGATCATGGCGCAACGCTCCTCGACGAGATTCGATCAATAACAGATCGATAATCAAGATCAATATATATGTGAAAATATGAGATACAATATAAAATAAAATACCAGAATCGACTTGTGTGACTAGACTCCAATGGTTTCTATTTGTGAGCACAAATGTGATTGGTTGCACAGACTATCAGATAAAAAAGTAAATAAGTTAAATAAATATCGATTTTTCAGAGATTCCAAAAATCAATAACACCCCCGGGTTGAAGTGTGCATGATTTTTGCAATAGCATAGAGAACATGGCAACGCTTTGACCATAGGAACCCATATGTAACTACCACATAGTCTGATGAAAGATGTTGCCCCATCGATATATCGATCGCGGGTGTCCACACCAATCAATCTATTGATTGACTTGGCACGAACACTAACAGTTTCAAACCCTTCCCCATAATCGAATAGTACAAAATGTGCATCAATATAGTGAAGTGGTATCATCTGTGATTCCTACGGCCCCAGCAGCCGACTAGACGCAAATATGCACAAAAAAATTCGCACAATAAAAAATCGATAAACACAAAGAAAGATTTCAAAATAAGCAGCTGGGCATTCGTTGAAATGAAAGTCGAGCGGATCAGTCAATACTAGATGGTCGTGTATTTGTATATATAGAGATCTTAATAAGGACGAAGTATAAACGGAGGGGGTCTGCGAACAAAATCACCTGAAATTGAAAAAAATCGTTTCGCTGTTCGAAAATATTAAAAAATTAGTATGAAAAGAATAAAAAATGAAAACTAATCCAAGGGGGCGGGGCGTTAAAGAAACTCCAGAACCCTCCCATTAAACAGCTGATCAATAACTAAAAAAACCATATGGGTCCTTGGATTGGTGCATTGACGGCGTAATCGATTACAATCGATTATTGATTTTTGCCTTTAGAGAAGCGGACAACTTTGAACAACCACATTACAGTACAGGAAATTGTGACCATCAATTGATTTTGCATAAGATTATCCCATTGAAAAACCCAAAGAAATCCCAACACTCACGTTCTACTACGCGAAAAGGTCAAACTCAAAAAAGCTAACCATAAATACTGAAAATTCAAAAAAAAATCAAGAAAAGAACGAAGAAAGAAGGCACGGACGGGGATAGGGACGGTGATGGCGGTGAAAGTGTAGCACAACATGCACTCTCGCTCGCACGCTGTCGCCTGCGTGGGCGGCAGCGCCGGCTGCTGCTGCTGCTGCTAGTATGGCCGATCGTGACGCGGTCGTTTCAGCTGCACCTTGAGGCGTTTCATGCCGATCTGGAAGCCGTTCATCGCCGCGATCGCGGCCTGTGAAGCCGCCAACGAATCGTACGACACGAATCCTGTAACGAACCCGACGACACTCAACGTGCAAATATCAACGACATTCAACATCGCGCGCTCGCGCTCATCGCCGCGCCTTGTCGACCACGCGCGCGCACGTGCGCGCGAGCACGGCGCGGCTCCCGACGCGCGGGCGCACGTGCGCAGCGAAGCATCGGGCGACCAAAGCGCGGCTGCTTCGCACCAGCACATGCCGGCCATCCTTATTCGATCCCTGAGCGCTTTCAGAGTTGACGTACCCACAGGCAACGCCGCGTCCGGGAGTCTCGATTCCAGTGTACCACCGACAGAAAGGCTGCGTCCGCGCCGCCCGCCAGAGGGCCGAGCCCAAGCGCCAACGATTCGCAGCGCTTGCTGTGTAACAGTTGCACATACATATATATCAACTTACGCGAAGATCCTACAGTACGCACTGCGACTCGTCCGCTGACTCCGCCTTCTTGCCGCGCGACGGGCCTCCTGTCAGGTACCCCTCAATCGTATCCAGCTCTGCTTTGGGAGTTGCCTTATAACGCCTGCTCTGGAAAAGCCTTGGTCTTGTCATGTTTCCATACTTGACCCAGGAGCAAAGAGAAAAGGCTAGAGGCCATTCAGTTTTGACCCGCCTCAAAGGAGGATGACAATAACCCCTTGAAGGGACTTTCGGCTGGTACAAGTATGGAAACATGCGCTGAAGGATGGCGCTCCTGGTTGAATCAGTCTCCGATCCACTTGAGTGCGAATGGTGTCTGAGAGACTCCCCATGTCGGTTTTGATTCTTTTCCCGAGTGGAATTCCCAGAAGGTGATTTTGGAACGATACGCTCACCCATTGAAATGTTAACTGCAAAGAAATTCAGGGGTGTGTGACTCGAAAATCGGGAATCGGAAGCGACCCATTGCATACGTGGTGGAGCGGAAAGACCGTCACCAACCCAGGAGCTGACCACCCTATTGCTGAGCGCGATAACCCCGCGTACCTACCGAAGCATTTGCTCTGGTTGGTGGCTCGGTCCACAAATACCTTGGCCGAAATCACATTGCCGAATGGCGCGAACATCTGTATGAGTTCGGCATCGCCGAACTCTTGAGGCAGATGGTAGATGAATAGGTTGCAGCCTTCGGGACCGAGCACTAAACACGACACAACAATGAGAATAATGAGGCCGCCAACACCAACGAGACACCTCTCCGGGCTCCCGCTCTCTTTAGCATCCGCTGCTCATTTTTTTCCCGAGCATTTTTGCGCTATCAGTTCTTTCTAGTGACTATTGGGTATGGTTCCACGGTATGTCTCAAAAGTACACACCATGCGTACGC